TATAAAATGTGCGCTGCCCACCCATGCTCCTAGTGACTGCTGTCTCACAGCATAACCTATTTCAATGTTTCTCTAACTCTGACTGTGACCAGCAGTAGAATAATAATATCATCACCAGGTACACTTAAACACCTACATGCATATATCTACTACACAGGGAACATGTCACAAACTTTACTGAATGCCAACATAGATTTTCTAATACATCTCACTAAAATATCCATCACACACAAAAATTGATTTCAAACCCTGTAGTTTGAAAGACCTAAGATAGTCCATTTTATTTTGAGTCCTCAAGTGTTCTGTTGGACCAAAAACATCCTAGTCTCTAAATTCCACACTGGTAATTTCTAAGGTGACACTGAAGTCACTGCACACACATACAAGACTCTTCACTTTACCCTTCTGTTTCTCATTGGACTCCCTTCTATTCTTCTGATGCTCCAGTTTCTCCTGTTCTTTTTTGATAAATTTCTCAGTTTCACTACCCTTAGTTCCCAATTTACAAAAGGCCATTGTCTAATTTTTTTTTTTTTTTTACATATGGCTGCTTTATACACTATTGATGCTGACACCTCAGCTGGGGCACCATTAAAGCAGTACATCCCCTTTCACTGCGCCAAAGCTTTTCAAAACTTGATTCTAATCCTAATTGGATCTGAATTGTAACTAAAACCTTTCTCCTGTTTAAATTAAACTGAGTTTCAGGTTGCAAATACGTTTCCTATATAAATATCATCCAAATCTATAGGTCTCACTGACTTCTATGACAAAAGAATTGTTAAGACTTCTATGTGAGTAAACTTAAAAACGAGGGGTCCTACTACATCACCAAGAAGCCACTCATTTTGATAAATGCCTTTTAGGGGTATGGTACTTATATATTGTATTAAAAGTGTAGACAGTAGTGAGGTAGAATAGACAGCAAATTGAGAATGCCAACTGAAAGCAAAAACTGGCAGTTTACTAACTTTGACATGGAAACATAGGACATCTTTTACTATTAGTGGCTATTTCACTAGTCAGTGTAATAAACATTTAAAAATCAGAATGGAGACCAATCCTATAGACTCTAATTTTTTTCTGAAGAGACCAGAGGTTATTTGCCCAGAGCAGGGTTTGAAATACGGGCAGCACAGTGAACGCTATTGAGCTGCATGTCACCCACTTGGAAAGTCCCTTACGAACTCACATGACATCAGTCTGGATGGACTTTCCCCCATCACTTTGTAGCTGCAAAGCACTATGCTGAGGATTTGGTTGGGGACTGGAAAGGGAAGAAGTGCACCACTTTTCGGTGAATTCTTGGCCAAGAACAGGCATTTGCAGGTGCCGAAGAACCAGGGGGAAAGAGGCTGAGTTAACAAGCTTCCAGGTAGCCAGGTTCTCCTTGGAAGTTGTAACCAAGACCAAAGTCTAATACACCTGATCTGTCCTTTTGCTCTTTTGCTTTAATATGTCAAGGGGCTAATGGAGCAATGCACATGAACGCTTGAGTAGCTAACTACTACAACCCCACTGCACCCTGCCTCCCCACCTCAGATGTCTTAAACTGACATTCTTAAAAAAACACGAACCAATACTTAGGCTTCCGAAGACATATGACTGGCTTAGTGACGATGGTAAATAGAGACAGCAACAGACACGTGCAACAGACATCAATACTGCCGCCCATAAATGTCAATCTTGGTAAGGATGAAGGTTCTCACCTACAGAAGAACCTGGGGTGCCTCAGTAATCTGGCAATCAGGTGAGCAGCCTATGGTAGAAGCCCTCGTGAACGTAAGAATGCTGCAAATCTCATAAGTTCCGTTCAGCTTCCAAAACTATTTGGAAGTCAGAGTGGTAAGAGTAATGCTAGAAGTAGAAGCCCCTGACCAACTTGATTACTAGCAACACACAATCATGTCAAGATGACATTTCAATCCTTTTGTCATCACGAGCCCTCATTCAGACCACTTTAAGTATAGCATGACAAGGTGCCAGCACAGACAAAATCAAAATGGAGAGGGAGAAATGTGCGAAGACCAAGTCTACTGGGAACTGTGCCAAAGGCTATGTAATAATAAAACTGCATACACATGTACATTAATTAATCACAGTATTTATTTAGACATCATTTTCCTATTTGTGCAGCTTAAACTGCCATTGTCAGAAATGAAAATCAATTCTAAGACTTACAATTTTTTAACATCTAAATATCCCTGAAATTGGGATACTATCGACCCAGTATCAATTGTTATGTAACTATGACAACCTTCTTTAGACACTTTCTCTAAGATCAAGGAAGAACCAGCATCATAGCATCAGCCAACAAAGGCTAAACCACAACATAAAAATGAACCACACTGATGACAGTAGTGTGAAGGCAGCAGGTAAACAAAGGTGTGCAGAGCTTATGCCGAAATCAGGAGCTATGTATCTCACACTGTGTGTCCAAAGAAATGAAATAGTAGTGCTGCTTCTGTTTAAATGGTAGACCTTGAATGGATGGTTTAGTAGGTATCAAATTAGGAATTTAACCTAAATAACTCAGTGTTGGATCAACTGTATTTAAAAGTTCACCAAATCTATATTCTCATTTTATTTATATCACAGTTTAATATTAACATCTCAGTTCTCAAGTGTAGTTAGAGAAGTTATGCTAGGCCACAGATGCTCTTGACTGGACCACTTTTATTTGCTTTCACTGATGTCACTGTCGCTGTCACTGCTGCTGTCACTATCGCTGTCATGGGTCAATGCAGTTAGGTTTCCCAGGGATTCCCTGTAAGGAAAATATAAACTGGAGAGTTACAGTGCAATTCATTCTTGGGGGCAGAACTCTGGAGCCTCACAAAGGAAAAGGCTCCAACAGCCAAAATTACAGCACTCCCTGCCCCAATCCCACAAATGAATCATTAAATCAATACATTCTGCTTTTTTGTGAAGGAAATTCAGGGATTAGAAAGCCATACATATCTGGGCAGATTAAAATTTGACCATTTGCATGGTCTGCTTCCATTTTTATAACTTTCCTTCATGGTGACCATACACGAGCCCATTAC